CAACATGTATGTGGTACCCCCTTGCCCCCAAATGTCCATGCGTTTGGGCATCAAAGTGGTATTTTGCGACGGTGTCTGCCTTTTGTTTGCTTTGGAGAAAGCAGCAAAAAAGGGCGCATGTCCAAAGACAATCTAGAAGCTTCAGGCTCCGAGCTGTTTCAGGGAAACTTGAATCCAGGCCCGAATGAAGTTTCAGTTGGATTGGATTTACCTCTGTCCTGTTTACAAGCTGAGGTTTGATCAAACGATTCTAAAATAAAACAGCAAAGAAGAAAGTCAGGGCCGGTCCCAAACCGTTTAAACCGCTTGAACTCTTTCTCGGAGAAGGGTCCGGGTCCAAAACCGTTCAAACCGTTTAAACCGAATGAGCAGTTTGAACCGATTGAACTGATTGAACCCTTTCTCAGAGGAGCGGTCAACTGAAAGTGGAAATCTGAAAACGAGGGAGTGAGCGGAGCTGAATGTACTGGAATAGGCAACTAGGGGCACGGAAGGAAACAAATGTTGACCCCGATGTGTTTAAAAGTGAACCTAACAATATTTTCGGATATTTGGGTGCCGTTCCACCCAGACAATATTTGGTGAAAGCTCCCGTCAACGGACGCCACCGCCCCCCCCCCCACCAAAACAAAACAAACAACGACCAGAGGTTGATGGGGTGAACACTACCAGAGGCCGCTCCTTGGAACCTTCAGAAGAAAAAAACGAAAATGAGAATCAGGTAACCCATAATTAGTTTGGATAGGCGGTTTGGATTTGGATTTGAAGCCCTGGTTCGGGAGGTGGTTCTTTGGGAAACCACCCAAGCTCCACACCTCAAAACCACCGATTCAGCTCCGAATCGGCGGTAAGTTAAGAGGATTGGCTCCAAGGCGTTTACAGCCAGTCCCGCTGATCTCGGCATCCCATATGCAGGGGGATCGAACAGAAAGTGTAACATGATTTGCAGCCCCACCCTCAAGTCAACAACAAACAGGCTTTTGCTCGCCTCACATAGTGGCTTTTGTTGTGGCTGTGTGTGTGTGTGCCATTAACCCGCCCAAGGTAGTGGTTTGGGAGTATGGAACTCGCGAGTCTGGACCTTGTGTACATCTTGAAGTCATTGTCATCCCGATTGCTCGGGTCGGGGTCAAAATACCTCAGAGCTCAGTCGTTCATCGTCCCCAACCGAAGCCGTGGGGCAAAATCCAAAATCCCGCCAGTAAAAAGGTGGTTTATCCCAGATGTAGTGCTTCATCCATCCAGCTGGTGCAGGATGTTGTCCATCCATAGCATGTCTGCAAATGATAGAACTCCAAAAACCTGAAGCAAGACTTGGATCCCAGAGTAAAGAACCTTGATGGCAAGATCGTTCCTGTTACCCCCCGAATCCGGTAGAATCGTGGGCCACAAATAATCAGACAAATCCGACCCGCCGAAGCAAATCGGCGCTATTTTGAGGTCTTTGGAGATCAAAGGATAGGGCCTTGGGCTCGGAGAAAGCGCATCTGTTGCCGGGCAGCCATGAATGAATTCAATGATTCCTCCCAAAGGAGACAACATGTTGGGTGACCCGAATGGATTCTAGCAAATGGTCCTTTACAGCAAAGACCTACACAACCACCAAATAGACCCACTGGCTCCAGAAGGGAAACTGAAGGAAACAGCACCAGAAGTAGCCTCAACGTGAGCACATCCATCCCGAGCCCGCGACCGAGCATCGTCTCTTGGATATGTAACCCACGCCAGAGAAATGGTCCATCTTAAAGAAAAGCAATTCGTCCACAACCCAGTCATCAGCTTCCATGGCGACGACACACCAGAAAAGTTCCCTCACATCCTAACATACGCAGGCCTAGGGGCGCATGAAGGAAGTCTGGGAAGTGGCTCAAGGGGACAAGCCTTGACCGGTTCAATTAACTTTCACCATGAGTGGCGTCCAATGGCTTGGATCGTGTCTCATCTAACCCAGGTTCCGCCCCCCTTTCGCGGGAAGTTGATAGGTCGGAAGTCCTTTTGGGCGACGGCTCCCCTAGCAACCTTTGCAATGGTTACGTCAATTCCGACGCTGAGTTGGCCCCCCCTCTTTTTCAGGGGACCCCCTTTTGGCTGGGTCTTCAAAGGAGAAGCAAGAAAGGAAAAGCGAAAATGGATTTGTTTCATAGTGTGTCCACCCTGAATTAACATAGTGTTGGAGGAGACCACAAGCTTGCTTTGCCCACATTATTTAGCTGTGAACGTGAGGTGAGGACAGGTGTAAGAGTTCATCTTGCTGGTTCTCCGTAAGGAATCGATTGACAGGTTTCTTGGGTTTGGGATCCCAAAGGGAAACCATAGCCGAGGATTCCGCATACCCACCAGTCTAAAAGGATTTCAACCGCCCGCAAACCGCAACCCCAAAGATGCCCCACGGACAAATGGGGTGAATGTAGCCTTTGCATTCCGGTTAGGTGGGGACTAAAGCACTGTCTTCCGCTTGAGGGTAGTGGTTTGGGGGAAAAGTGGACATCCTCTCAGCCGCCCCACTTCGCACCAAACGTCTCTTTCCAATTCGCCCTGCTTCTGTACACGTCGCATCGCTTCACACCTTGGTGACCCTTTCATTATCCATTGTCCCAGGCCGGCACCGAAGCGTCACCGAAGTGCGCAAGACGCGCGAGACTCGCGCACGACAAAAGCAGAAAGCCCAACTACTTTACAGCTCAGCCTCTCTCTGCCAGGGCCGCACGGTTGACTCGCCAATTCTTGAAGCTCCTTGCCCTTGACTTTCCCTGGGTCTTTTTGCTTGACATCTCCAGAAGGGCAAGCCGCTGCCAGATTTTAGCCATTCCCCTCACCCGAGCCGTTCACCGGGGCCGACTGCCGAGTCGGGCAAGCCGAGTCGCACGCGCGACGGGGCTGCTGGGCCAGTCGGGCAAGAACCGCTTCACCCCGGTTCAGCTCAAAGGCCTCATTTGGAGCCCCAAGGACGCCTGGCAATCTTATCATTGGGACCTGGAAATTGTGTACAGCCTCACCAAATATGGAACTTCAGGGTATCCTCAAAAACACTCATCCATTGGACTCGCGCCATGGTCGCCTTCTCCTTCCATAAGTTGGCCAAGTTTCCACGATTTTGGCTTAACGTAATCCCGAATCCTCGGGGCCTCTGCCAGCGCCCCTTGAGGGCCTGGCCTAAACCGCGAAATCGGTCATCGAAAAACCATGCCGGCGCTTACGGGCGAGGCGACGCAGCCGAGTTCTCAGTCGGACCGCTCGAAGAAACGCAACGGAACTTCAGCTTCCCTCGAATGTCGGGTGTCTGTGTTAGAGCCGGTACCTGTTTTTGGTGGGCTTTAAAGGGAAACCAAAAGGAAAACCAACTGGGACACAGTTCAGCTTCCCTCGTTGTTTGGTGGTTTGGATTGGTTTGGTGGTTGGGGGGCGGTTTCCCATTTGTTCTCCACGAGAACCAGGGGTGCCAATCCCAAACCACCAATCCAAACCAGCAAAATGGTTACGTGATAACTTGGTACAGCCATCCTCCTCTGTATATGTTATTTTACCACGATCAAAGTCACCCCCTAGGTCCTAGGTTGAGGAGAAACACCTCCGGTTTCTGACTTTGGTAATTTTGCCCGCGTAGTGTTGCGCAGGAGGTGAGATTTACAGATGTGATTGTGGGGTTTCATCTTGTCATCCCAAAGACATACGCCTAATTGCCAAGTCATGGTGCCTCCGCACATCTTGCTGTGTGGATACTTGAAACCATGATACGTGGCCCAAATCTGGGATGATATACCAGAAATCATCCTTTCAGATTCTGATCCACACTGCGTCAACCTCAAATGCAAGATCACGCCGGAGGCCCCATAATTCATATGGGTATGCGCCAAAATAGGGGGCCCAAAGTGATCGGTTTCCGCTGTAGGGGACCCTCTCAGAACTCAGAATGGTTGGATTCCTTTTGGTTTCCCTTTAAAACCAACCAAGAAAGGGTACCCTCAAAGAAAGACAAACCCAAACTTTACCCAAGAAGGAAACCTTCAGAATGGTAAAGCCTGTGACCTGCAAAGAGCCTGTGACCTCTGACGAGGGCGAGCCGAGCAAGAAAAGACCTCCTGTGGGGGGGTTTTGAAATGGATGCTAGAATAAGGGTACCAACTTTTTTATGTAGTCTATTCTAGTAGGGGAACCCCTCCCCCAAAAAAGGGTAAAAGGGCACTACTGGGCGACCTAGAAGAGGGAACCTGTTGCGCCCCAAATTTTGGGGGGACACCGCGAAAACAAGACGAGCCATATGGGTTACAGGGCTGCAACAGTTGCCGCCGCTCGACTTCCTCAATGATCACCCCAATCCGAACATCAGCATTGGTCCTAAAGTGAAAACACTTCAACATAGTTGGAAACATAGGTGGAAAAATAAAGCTAAGGGGAATCATAGTTAGAAACACCAGCCATTGCTTTAAACAGAAAAATGGGGATCCCAAGGTTTTCTTAGCTCATTTAGTCCCAGACCTCTGGGAAGGTACCAACTGTTGGTTGATTTAGGGGCCCACCCTCTCAAGGAATCGGGGCATTCGAGGTCCTGGTAGTCGTCTTGTGCTGCTTATCTAAGGTCCTCGATTGTCGCTTGCTTCGCCTCGGGTTCGCGAGCTGAAAGATGCGATCATGTGGCACCAGCATGCCCAAATGCTCTGCGGGTGCCTGCTCTTGAATTCGCGTCGGGCCGCAATGAAGTTGACATTGCGCAAATGCCCCGAGTGAAGCCCAGTGCCCACGGCAAAAGGAAGATTCCCCGAGTCCTCTTAAATGAAAAGTTGTCCAAAGGTTGGCACTGGGTGACAGGAACAAGAGCCATGGCAACATGCCGTACGCACCATTGCCAGAACGGGCGGCCGTCTTTGTGGCCTCAGCACTTTGGAAGAAATGAAAGGCCGCCGGCAATTTAAACAATTGCAACTCCTCGCGCCTGGTGGCGCCGAGGAAAGCACTGGGCCAAAGTACCAAACGCAACGGACACAGCACGTCGTCGCAGCTAGTCACTTCTTCTTGCCTGGAGTCCTTTCGAGCCCGCAGACCCAAGACAACTGCCAGTGGAAAGTGGCCAGGGGAAAGCCGGGTGCCCTGAATTGTGGTCGGTTGCTGCTGAAACAAACCTCGCCAAACCAGGGTGAACCATCAAAACCCAGCAAAAAAGCAGCGGACGTCCACCCGTTTGACGCTTCACCATGGACTTTAGGTTTACCGCCCTCATAAGTACCAGGGCAAATGAGTACGCATTTGGGCAGCGCCCAAAATCGATTCCTGTTGGGCCATTTCAGCAGGTGGTCCCGTCTGGTTTAATTGGGGTTATAGTCAAACTGCCTTTTCTTGAGGGTATCCCTTGTGTGTCGTTTTGTCCAAAGGGAAACCAAAAAAAACAGAAAAACCACTCCCCTAAAAAAGGCGGAACTGTTCAAGGATGGAATCTCTCGGGTCCAATTAGCAGCCAATGCGGGCTACGGAATACGGAAGAACTTCCAAGACACCCCCCCACTCAACCAAAACCCAACAAAACCCAGCTCGACCATCCAAAGACATCCAACTCAAGCCTGCCGAAACCCCTTCTCCCCTCTCCCCTGAAAACCAAAAACACAGCAGACGAATTCCACATTGGAAAATATGATAAGGTCTATCCAAATATTATCAGAAGGAGAAAACGTTGGAAACTGGCAACCAATACCAAAAAAAGGCAACCAATATGGGGGTTGATCAAAAGGTCCTTTACATGGGGTGACCATTACAAATTACCCATGATCATTCTGGGGGCAGGAATATTGATCGACCTCTACATAAATCAGGACAAATCACAAAAAGAGGGGAGACCCCAGCCACTCTATATGCAGAGTGTCCTTTTTAGGTGACGCCCTGCCTCAAAAAAAAAGAACCGCGTCACCTTCTTTAAGGACCCCCTCAAAAAAAAAAAAAAAAAAACGGGTCCGCGTTTTGAGCCAAGCCCACATTTGATTCTGTAGGGTTGCGAACCTGAACCAGGAAGACTCGGGCGGGTCTCAAATCTCAAAAGGGAGAAACCCCAAAAATGGCAAGGTCGCCTTTTCCTTGTCCTTCAAAACCAACCAAAAAGGCCCAAAACATACAACGAAAACAAACAAATGAGCGAAACCGAGCCACCCCCTTCTGCAAGGGTCGACCCACCCCCTCCAAAAAAAAGAATCGCAACTTCCGACGTCGGTGTCGGCGTAATATCTTCCTGGATCCTCGCAAACCACCTCAATCGCGCTGAAAATCCATGAAACCCCGAAAGAAGGGTATGCGAAGGACTGTCCATTTTAGTTCAACTCAGTTGGACCCTTTTTGAACTTAGAGGGCTCTTTGGGATTCGTTCTCCCGGAACTCCGCCAGCATGAGATCCGCGCGCGCAGGCGCGCGCGTTCCACGCGAGCCGAGCAATTCGAGCCGAGCCGAGGTGTCCTGAGCTCCATGTAGACCTGGCCCTCCGCCTTGGCCTCGTTGTCCGGGAGCCGGTGGAGCAACTTGAAGCCGTGGCGCTTGTAGAACCTCGCGGGAGACGATGGGGCGATCGGTTTGGAGCCGTGGGGGGTGTTTTTCAGGTTTGCTGGTGGGGAATTGAACCCCCTGCCCCCAAACTGGTGGTGGGGGGAGGGGAGTTTGTTGCGGGGAGGGGGAGTTTGGATGTGCTTTTTGGTGGATTTCACCGATGTGTCTTCCCCTGTAGGTTCTTGTTTAGTATTTTTTTTTGTACTCTTTTGATATCCCACAGGGGTGGATCCACAAAAGCCGCATGCAAACCGTTTTCTAGAATTTGAGCCGTGTTCTTTGAGGTTAGTTGGTGGATGTGCTGTTTTAGAGACTAATATAAAGCCCCCAACAAAAACGGGCGGGGGAGGGGGCAGGGGTGGGAACTTCAATTCCAAACTGAGCCATGACTCTATGAGTATAGAAGCCACTAGTAAAAAGTTTGTCCCTTACATCACCACTTTTCACCAAAAGGTCTTAAGGAGAGAAAGGAGGTGTGTCTTATATGTCTCACCAGGTGCCAGCCCGGGGAGTCACCCGTTGCAACCAATGGACAGGATGTGATGGTCTATCGTGCCAACTGCCGTGTTATTTTGGTGAATCCCATTTGGCCATGGGTCAAAACCCCGGACCCCCAGTGAACATCCACTGAAATAGACTAAAATGGGTGGTGCACCTGCCCCGAAATGGTACCACTGGTTTTGACCCACAGCCATTTCAATGCATCTCACCAGTTGCAATTCGTGACCCAGATGTGCAAAGGGGTGGCGAAAAAAATGTGTGGGTGGGTACCTTGAAGGGCTGCCACCCGGATCACGCACCCATACGCAAGGCGGGACCTCTCCATCAACGCGCCCTAATTCTGCCGTTGTTGCTTCTTTGGGTCTCTCAGTTGGTTTCCCTGAGGAAACATGCATATCCTGGTGGTACCTTGGTGTTGTTTTAACGGGAACTTGATTGGTTCAAAGGCTGAAAATCGGCGTGTCGCAAAATAGGATATGGACCCGCCAAATCTACTCGGCAGTTGGCCCCAACCACAAGTATTGAAAACAGATTCATGGAAAACATCCAACAAACACAAGGCAAATCGCTCTGTTCACCATAGCAGCGACCAAAACCCTTGCTCACTTTCGGCTCTAAGACGGTTAAAAACCTTTAGGCCTCACTATAATACGTGTTCAGCCAGGTCGTATTTTTTTCTGGACTTGTGCAACCGCCAAAGTCCTTGTGTTTGGTGGTAACTCTATAAAATCCACAGCCTAGTAAAAGTTCAGCCCAGTGGGGTTGGCGGGGGCGGTTGATCCCACCAGCCAAGGCGCTTGACGGACCCTGGCAAGGAGGACAGGCCCACCGTCTGCACCTAAAGGCCCATGGCAATCCGACGGCTTTGCGCTTGACTTTTTGTCCTGCAGCAGAGAGCTTAGAAGAAGTTGGTACCAACTTTTTTCAGGACGTCTATTTGAGTAGGGGAACTCTCCCAACCAAAGAAGGGGTGAGAAAAGGCACCTGGCTGGGGGTAGTTGAACAAACGCCAGCCAACCAACATGCCATCCTGGGCCAAGCGAAATCCAGGGCTCGCTTTCTGGTTGTGGTCAAAAATTCAGAGCTCGGCCCCCTTCTCGCCTCCCACATGGCCCATACGCTAGTAAGTTTGACCAAACCGCATGTTTCCGGAAATTGTACAATGCTTCCAACCAGAAATTGGTTGTGACCGACATGGACTATCTGTGTGGGCCTCTCTCCCCAAAGCTTTCAGCTGCTTGCTCCTGCCTTCCCTTTTGAACAGAACCAACACAAAAGATTGCCCTTTACCACTGAAAGTTGGAACCGGTGCCCTTTTGCAAGTTTAAGGAATCTGTCACATCATGCCGACCCAAGCTTAGTTTCCTTGGGATGCCTTTCCAGGGGGACCACCTCTCATCAATAACTCGGGGGGGGGGGGGGGGGAAAGGAAAGACCAGGGAGGAATCCTGTTGCAAAAAATCGACGGTACCGGTAGACCACCGAACCCAACGCAAAGGCTCCACCAAACCAACCAAGGGCCACCTGCGACGAGTGACGAACTTGTGTGTTAGATACGGAAACCCCGTCCAAAAACAGAAAAAGCTTGGTTCAACTGGATGGCCGGGACCACCAAGTAAACATTTAAAAAGAAAAAAAAACATATGTCCAGTCGTGGGTAGCTCTCTAAAACACGGCAAGGGGAAACCATTGGAACCGAACCTCGCGACTCCGAGCTCGGCCAAGGCCGACGCCGAAACGCGCCGGCGCCTGCGGCAGGCGCTTGGCCTCCGCCACCAACGTCTTCAGCAACCAGCTCCCGAAGCCGTGCCGCCGGTGCGCCTGCCGCGCAACATGCCCACGAGTTTAAAACAAAAAAACAAAAAAAAAACGCGAAAAAGGCGAGCCGGGGAAGAAAGTGGCCCGGTTTAGGTGCTTTTTGCAGTCGTTTGTTTACTGGGTTCGTTCGATCGTTCGTTCGTTCCTTGCTTCCTTGCTTCCTTGCTTCCTTGCTTCCTTGCTTCCTTGCTTCCTTGCTTCCTTGCTTCCTTGCTTCCTTGCTTCCTTGCTTCCTTGCTTCCTTGCTTCCTTGCTTCCTTGCTTCCTTGCTTCCTTGCTTCCTTCCTTCCTCCCTTCCTTCCTTCCTTCCTTCCTTCCTTCCTTCCTCCCTTCCTTCCTTCCTTCCTTCGTTTGGTGGCTCGTTCGTTCGTTCATTCGCTCGTGCGTTCGCTCGTTTGTTCCTTCGTTCGTTCGTTCGTCCGTCCGTTCGTTCGTTCGTTCGCTGGCTTGCTTGCTTGCTTGCTTGGTCCGTGTTTGGTGCTGAGGTGGCTTCTGCTTGCTTTTCTGGATTGTGCTTGGTGTTTGGCTTTCGGAGTTTGGTTGTTGGTGCTTGGCGTTTGTTTGCTTGGATACTGGCTGTTGGTTGTTAGTGCTTGGTGTTTGCTTGTTTTGTGCTTGTTGTTTGGTGTTTGATGTTTCTGTTTCTTGGTGCTTGTTTGGTTGTTGGAGTTTGGTTTGTGGTGTTTGGTTGTTGGTTTGTTCATGTTCTTGTGTTTGGTGTTTGCCGCTTGGTGTTCGGTGTTTGGCGGTGGTTGCTGCTGTTTGGTGCTTGGCTTTTGGTGCGCGTGTTGAACAGTGCTGATTTGAGTCACGGTGAATATTAGTGTCCCCATCGGCTCCACAACTAAGTCTGTGACCCATCTCATCCTTTCTACAAATGACGGAGATTGACAGTTGTTCATCTTTCCTGGGACCTAAGGCTGACAGGGAATCCCGAAGCGGGATTCTCTTATTCGACCCGTCAGAAGGTAGAGGTGTAGTCCCTGGCAAGAGAGAAGTGTCCTACCCTTGCGCTCTGATCACTGCTTTGAGGGTCCGAGCAACCCTGGGAAGCTCCGTTGCTTTCTGCTCCCCTGCTAAAAAGTTTAACTGTTAGTGGTTTAATACGGAAAGCCCATTCGCTGTTTCCAAAAAGTGTTCAGTCCTAACATCCCTTGGCCAAATGCACAGGAAACCAACCAAAAGTAGTCCCCGAGCCTGAGACAAGCATCGGGACCATTCAAGCCGAAACCTACGCAAATAACACGCCTTCATAGGTGGCCTTTTTAGGGGAAATAGATGGATATCCCTGGTAAATGATTAAACCAGGTAAACCAGGAATCGCCGTCGATTTTTCGACCAAAACAACCAAGAAGGACACCTATGAGCACGCCTTCATCGCTGCTTGAAAGACACGCTCGCCAGTCGATGATAGGGACCCGTGGAGGATTCCCCCCTGGGAATCAAAGACTCAGAAATCAAAATGGGCTTGTCTCATAGGAATCGGACTTGATATGGGTTGGTTCCTTTGGGTTTCCCTCCCGGCCAAACTTGGGGTACCACAAGATGTTTTTCCAGGGCGCGCATCTGTGGTAGCAGTTACGTCTCTTGATTTCAATGGGTGCTCCTTTTTCCTTAATACTTGAGCTCCCTGGGAAAAAAAAAAGTTATCTCCCAACAGTGACATCGATTCCCTCCAAAACGTTCCACAAGCGCTTCCCCCGCGATGCTTCTCTCGCTCTCAATGGGCGCTCCTCGGGCACGGCCAGCTGCGCGATGATCAGCGACTGCTTCTCCGGTTTGACCCGAAAGACCACGAAGCCCATGAGCTCCACCCGCCTCTCCGATCCCCGATCGATCGACGCGAGATCCAGGCGCCATAGAGAAGTCCACTGGAAAAAAGGGAGAAAATATGTCCAGTGATAAGTTCCCGTTAAAACCGACCAGGGGAAAACCTATTCTGAAACGCCTCCACGCGATCGACGCGATATCGGCACGTCCGCGACGCGATCCGAGGCGAGGCGAGGGACGCGCGCGGCGCGAGACGACGAGAGGCGGAGGAAGAGAGGGTGGCCGGAGGAACACTCGGCTGTGGTCTGATAATATTAAAAAAAAGAGGTTCGCCGATGTCACCGTGTGTGGGCTAGGAGCTAAAGAGATTTTGGTTTCCCTCGAGCACCTCAACAACTTGCTGATGGGATAGGCAGTGCGTGAGACATGCCTCCAAGAAAAACCATCGCTTTTCCTGTTTTCCTTCAAGGGGATCCTCGGGTTCATTCTCACATGTCCTACCTATTACACCAGCAAGAAAAGCTGGCGACCAAAGCCACTGGGCCCATCGTGAAAGTTGCAAAAACTCGTTAAAACCTCGAAAGCAGTCGACCAAACCCAGCGAACAAAAAAAGGTCGGCCAAACCCAGGAAAGTTGACAACTCGTTACCCTCCCTCAGACTAACAGCCGAAAGCTCCCCCAATTGGCCACTGTAAATGGAACCAGGTCTTCCAAGGGTTTTGGGAGCTTTTATGGAATCGCCTGGGGGAGGGGAAACACCCCAAAGCAGTCGACCAAACCCAGTGAACAAAACGTCAGGTCGACCAAACCCAGGTGTAAAAGTCGCAACACAAAGTCGTCGAGATGTCCCCCACCCCCCCCACCCCCCACAAAAAGTGGAGGACCAGGGAATAGAAGATTCACAAAGGTCGAAAAGTCCATGAAAAAACAGGGAAACCAACAATGTAGGTGGCATTCAAAGAAAAGTACACCAATTATTGAATTGGCTTGAAGGAGAACAAAGGTAAACCCACCATTTGACTGGCGTTGCGAAGCCAAGCAAAAACCGCTTTGTGAACCACCTAGTGGGTCCAACCAACTTTTGGCAATCCTTGAACGCTCGTCAAACTTTACAACCCAAAAAGCTGAATTGAGAATTGGACCCCCAAGTAAAGGACAACTACATCATGGTGTTCGCTCTTGTGTTTTTCTCCCGAATCGGTGAGCTCGCGAAATAAAATAGGCAGTTCCCAGGTTTCCCGGGTTGCCGGTTGTTCGAGGACCCAAGTTCTTCTAGTTGCTTCAGTCCACTGGAAAAAGTTGGAAAATATGTCCAGTGATAGATTCCCGTTAAAACCGACCGATGGAAAAAATATTCTGAAACGCAAATAGAAGCAAGGCAAAGGCAAAGGTCCAACCCAAAGAGCTTGGTTCATTCAAAATCTTATCATTCAAATCATCACATCATGGGCGTGGCTCGCTTTGACAGGCCCACCATTTTCGGGGTCCCGTTCCTACACATGCCCGTATACACCCTCGGTTCCCCTACGATGGCACGCTTCATGGCGAGATTGCGCTACTTTCACCCAACTGCAAAGAATCCTTCCCTGGACAACGGGCTGTACGGACGTCAAGGGCCCATGTCCTTCCGATCTGTATCCTGGGCCGTTTGTACATACCCTTTTCACATACCCCTCGCCCAGAAAAACTTGGGGGTGTGGCCAACCCCCTGCTTAAGCATGTTGAATTGCACCGATTTAGACGGGTCGTCGGGTCGTCGGGTATTGTACCTGAAAACCAAGCTAAGCCATGATCGTAGGAGCACCAAATGAGCACATCAGACGAGGACTCTTTTGTTGTGGCGTAATTGCAGGAGCAGAATGATAGTAATCATTTAAGCCTTGTGCCATGCTCAAAGTCCTGTGTGGGTCATGGTTGCATTTTTCTTAGGAATGCATGACATGGCTGTCTACAACCGCAAGATGTTGATGACCGTCCCCACCAGTAGCCCTAAGAGAAAGGTCTTTCAACTACGACACAAAGAGCTTTATAATTTGTGTCCATCTTTTCTCCAGGAATGTTTACCATGATAAGGTCCATCAAAGAACCCTGTTTGATCTGGGCCTTCAGATCCCCTGCCAGATTTCTAATTCTTAGTGGGTTAACCACTAAACCAACTAAAAGCTGAACAGCTAAAAAGCTACGGAACGAACCGGATGGCTGGAAACCGCCAAGAAAACCAACCGATTCCCGTAGTGCTAGATTCCCCTTAAAACCAACAAGGGTGTTTTTTTTTTATTATTTTACTTTTTTAATGTACTCTTAAGCGCATGGAAGCCTTTAACACAAACCTGAAAAAGGGCACCCGAAATGCAACCCCATTCGGCCAGGTCACTCCCCGAGCTGGCCCGCGGCAATGTGGATCCGCCACCCACCTGAAAGCGATATAGCCCTTATATAGTGACGATATAGCCAATTGGTGTGTATATATATATATATAGATATGGCTGTTTCTTTTTTCAGGGTACCCCTCTTGGTGGGTTTTAAGGTGAAACCGAAACGGAGACCACAATTTGTTGGGAACCCCGAAGAAAAGACACACCCATATACCTTCCCACCAATTAACATGGAATCTGACGGTCCCTTTAACAGGAAAATGGTCTTCCACGACTCCCCCGCACGTCAGGTTCCATGTTAATTGGTGGGAGGGTATACATGGGCTACTGGCCATATAGTGGGCTTGTTTGGTGGCTTTGAAAAGGGCGCTATTTTGTTCGGCTCATTTTCTTGGCGCAAGTCACGCCATTGTTTCGCCTGCGAGCTTCTGGCCTGGAAAGGTAACCGTGAAGCGTGTGAGTGGCCCCTGCATTCCTGCGAGCCTGCGCGCAACTGAGAGGAATCTTGCAAGTGTATCACAGAAAGTCAAGGGTCGCTGGATTTCCGCAAAAGTTGCGGTTTACAGAAAATCGCCACTTTGGGATGTCCAAGAAAAGGGAAATTGAGGGACCCACGAAAGTGGGAAATACAACTAACTGTCCAGCTGTCCGTATCCATACTCCCAGCTTACGTGCCAGCAGTCAAGGAAGTAAGTCTGCCAGCCAGACATGAGTGCGTGGTTTTGAGGCTACCCTTTTGGAGGGTCGGTTTCAGGGAAAATCAAAGGACAACAATTGTTGGCGAACCATTTTGACGCACTAAAATAGCGGACCGCTCTGCACGCTCTCCAAGTCAGAGTTCCGCTTGCTGTCTTTTCAGGGTACCCTTTTCCCAAAGGTCACACAAACCAAAGCGACAACCGAAGCCATTTTGGGGGGGGTGTTCGCAAATAACACATACCCCAAAGTGGTTGGTGGTTCCCTGAATCCCCTAAACTTGCTCCCTGCTGAGCAAACTCGGAGTCAATCCATGTCTCATTCCCTGCCTATCGCACCAGCAAGTAATTTGCATCTGGTTAAATTGCACAAATCACGCCTTTCTTACACTTAGGAAATTATATATATATATATACATACATATCTACACATTTATATATATACATACATATACATATATATATACATAAATAAATACATATATATATATACAAATATATATGTATGTATGTATGTATATATATATATATATTAATGGTACCCCCCGCTCCCACTCCCAAAAACCCTACATACGAATCCCCCCGTAAATGATGTCCACCAAAAGCTCCCAGTGAATTTCACCCCCCCGCGACGTCGAGGCCGGGCCTCGCTTGGAGCAGCCGCTGAGGGGGTCCTCGGAGAAGATGTCCTCCCCCAGCGCGGTGATCTGCTCCAGCACCAGGCGCTTCCTCGGCTTCGTGTGGAACCGAGAACATAGGCCCGTCAGAAGAAGTGTAGTCGCTGGCAGAAGTGTCCTGCACTCTGATCATTTCTTGCGGTTCCGAGCCATCGGAAACCAACCACAAGTAGCCCCCCAGCTAGAGACTGTCTGTGGGAGCGGCCCCAAAAGAACCAACCCCCAGAACAGATGATGCCCCTATTAGGGGGACTTAAGCGCAAAGCAGGCAGCAACCTTTCTTGCATGCTAAAGATCTGTGCACAGCTGCGGTTTGTCAACAGCGCCATGCCGCTTGCAACTCACACAGAGGGAAAAGTGTGTTGCTGTTGACTAAGCGGCCATTCGGAGCTTGCGCCTCTCGCGCTGGCCCCTTCGGAGCGCGGCGCGGCGCTCCTCCAGGACTTTGTCCTGTTCGGTCTGCTTCATGCAGAGCTCCCAAAACTGCCTGTACACCGTGAGCTGCTCGGGGTCCATCTCCTTGGTGAGGGCATCCGCGTACTGCTTGAACGTGGGGCACCAGCGAATGCCCAGGATGCCCGTCTCCACCATCTGCTTGGTGAGGTGGAGATCCAATGCAGTCTGCCTCTCAGCCGTGAGGTGGCCCACCTTCTTCACGTGATCGAACAGGCTCTTCGCATCCGTCACCACCAGGCCTCTCGTGGTCAACCGCTGCCTCCAGTCTCCGTGCACCTCCAACTGCCCCTTGGTGAGCGCCTCCCAGAGCAGCCGGTTGTAGAGCTGGTGATCCGCCGCCATCGTCATCGATGCTGCTTCCGCAGCCATACTGCTGCGGACCACACGCGAGATGCGGCCGCTGTTGAACTCCAAAACCCCCGCAGGGGCTGGCTGTGTCTCCGCCTTCACTGAAGTAATGAAGTGAACCGCTCCCTGCTGACTCTGACCTTTTTCCTCCTTGCCCAAGGAAGCATCAAAGTAAGTCACGAACATCACCTCACCTCCGATGTACGGGTAACTTCACAATCGCACCCCCGGACTCCGCAAGGGCCTTCATATCCTTCAGGGTCTTGTTCGCCTTGTAGCTTGGCCCCTTGAACTTCTGAGCCAGGGCACTGATGCGGTACAGAAAATCTGGCATCACATGGGCCGCAGGCCACCGCATCTGCATGACCAAACGCCAGTACTCTTTGAAGTTGGCGCTCTCCAGCATCTTCTCATCCGGGCCCGTCAGCTTGCTGTACTCAATCTTTCGGATGTAGTCCACCATGTTGTCCTGGATGCCATCCGTCCCCATGGTGACGTCCATGCCCAGATACCGCACCGGCTTCTCACCGAGTTTGGACCACTCCTTGATATTGAAGTGCTCGTTGATGTACTGCTTGAGCTTCTCAAAGTGAAACTCTCCCTCTTCGCCCACCAGAAAGCCGTCATCGACATGCAGATCGCAGATGGCTCGTACTGTCTTCTTGGGGTCCACCAGGACAAACGTGGACCTCGCGAAGGGCCAGCAGCTCCACAGCACGAAGATACCAAAGGCGAGGCGCCTCAGGCAAGCCATAGGCACTCCGCATCAGCTCGTGAGCGGGCAAACCTTCCGGTGGGGCTTTGACCAAGATCTGCCGGGTGGCATTCTTTCCACTTAGGAATGCTGTCGACACATCGAAGAACCACCCGGACCACTTCTTCATGGCACAGATGATTTTCGTCATCCGCACCGCAACACTGGCCACCGTTGGACTGTCCGTCCGGTAGTCGCCCAGCTGGGGATCCAGATGTCCGGGAACCACAAGCCGTGACTTGGCAATGAGCTTCATGGCCTCCTTGCTCTTGTTCGTGCGCACCATCCTCAAGGGTGCACGAAACACCAAGGACCGGTCCACCTGCCGAGCCACGTCCGGATTGATCCTCTCGATCACCTTGTTCTTGATCCAGCTTCCCCACTCATTCTTATCACTCTCCGCAAACGCTGCCGCCTCGTCCTTGTCAAAGAGCCTTGGGTCAAGCTCTTTCCCTGAGCTCTTGAGCTTCAAGATGAGCGCCTCGCTCAGGGTCTCCAGCTTTCTCTCACGCTCGACCATTTCTCTCCAAGCCTGAGGCTGAGTGACCCTCACCTGGAAGAGTTCCTCCTCCAGCTGAACATAGGCCATGTTCTCCTCTGCTCTCACTTCCTCTAGCTTATTGAACAGAGTCATGCCCCTCCACAAGAATGGGGCCTTCCTCCTAGGCTGCTGCTGCGCCTCCTCAAGTGTTTCCTGACTCACCATTGCGGCTCTGAGCATCACGACCACTCTACCTCTCTTCTTTCCTCCGGGTGGCCTCTGCATTGCTTGTGCAGTCGCGCTGCGGTGATGGGCATGTCTAACAGCCTCCTCAACTAACTTCTTGACCTCGGAACGAGGCAACCAGGCATTTGCTTTCCCTCGCTCCTTCGACGGCAAGTTGGCTTTGCCTTTGTGCTTGTCCTGAAAATCCTCCACTGCTGTGGCGACCATCACCGTTTGGAAGAATTCTCCTTTGAACTTCTTCCTGATCTGCTCCTCACTCAGTTGCTCATCCGGCGGTCGCTTCTGCCTGATCGGGTCGGGCACATCATCGAGCGACCGGCGCCTCCTCACTCGTGGGCTATCGCTGTGATCAGAGATGACCTCATCATCGATCTCGTCGTACCACTTTTCAATCTGCTGGATGGTAGGCCAAAAGTCTTGTGAGGCGCTCGACCTCGGTGAAGTCGGCTCATAGTCACTTCCACCTTCCGGCACCGGAACATCTACACCTCCTAGAGGCTCCGGCACGATGGGCTTCTCCTCTGGGGCTTTCTGCTTCAGCTGCTGCTTCTGCTTCTGCGTCCTCTTTGCCATCACCCGCTTTCTGAACAGCGGGTGGCGAATCACTTTTCGCACGCTCTTCAAACCTCTCATCATCTCTTTGGCCTCATTGTAGGGCCTTCCCTTCCTGCTCTTGGGAACCATCACCACGTCCTGTGCTTGCCAAGGACGGCCGCCAATGTCATCAAAAGGGGGCCTCCACGATGTCGCATCCTGAAACGACTGGAACTCCAATCTCACCATGTCTCCAGCTTCTTCTGCTGTTGCGGGCCTCATGCTGGCTGCTGACAACAGCAGACATCTTCCTCTCCAGCTCACGAAGTACCGCTCCTCACCTTCTCGAACCATCACGGTAGCTGGTCCTCTCCAGCCCGAGCGATCCTTCTTGTACCTCACATTCTTTGGACCTGGCACCCAGAAGTTTATCCTCTGGCCAGGAAGAAAGGGAATCGCCTCTCCTCCAGGTCTCCGCAGAAGTGCCTTCTTGAGCTTTACCTGAACATCTTGGTGAAGTAATGCTCTCCTCGCTGCGGCTCTCATCTCCATTGCTCTGCTGAATTCGCCTTCCAGATTCAAGGCCTGTCCCAGGGTTGTCCGATCTTGGACATCATCATCCAGCAGGCCCGAAAGTTCGCTGGCCTTCCGAACACCAGGGCATTTGCCGAATACCCGCGTCTGGAGACAGTTGCATTCTTGGCCTGGACCGCTGCAGCAAGGCTCTGTTTCATCATTGTCCAGTCCTCCGCCTTGTACTCCACTATGAGTGCATGCCATGCAGCGCCCAGTAGAGCACCCTGCCTTTCCGCAAAGGAGTTCTGCCAGGGGGCATAGGCACCGACCACCTTTGAATGGATCGCGCGCTTCTCCAACTCAAAGAGGAATTCCTTCTCAAACTCTCCTCCTTGGTCGAATACCAGCTCCGTGGGATCCCCAAACAGGGCACACCACTGAGTCACGAACTTGTTTGCCACATGCGCGGGGCGCCTTGTCCGCAGCAGACAAGCCCGATGAAAGTTGGTAGCATGATCTATCATGCTCAATGCCACATAGAGCTTCGACTTGCAGTCTTTGGCGTACTTCAAATCCAGGTGCACCGAGGCATTGAAAGTTACCGGGCGCATGCTTGGAGCTTGCATCGGCTTCCTGGGTGCTTGTGAAGCCTCACAAGCCGGGCATTGAAGCTCCCGGCATTCTTTCAAAAACTGGCCATCCGCTCCCGCCAGCCGTAGCATCCTCTCCAAGGTCTCAGGGCTCGGATGTCCAAGCCTCGTGAACCATCATGAGCCTCAACCTGTCTCTGGTCTTCTTCTGCTGTCGCTGGGCCTCCTCCTGCAGCATCCTCTGTTCCAGATCTTCCTCTGGCACCACCTCTTCTTCGTTCTCAAACTCTTCGAAGCGCTCTTCTGGCACGTGAGCGCCTTCCACAAATATCTCTGGTCTGCGCGTTCCTCTTAGGTACTCTTCCGCACCGATCACCACCTCCTGAGCAAAGTCTGGCGTGTAGCCTCCTGCGAACTCTGACAGTGACCTCCATTTTCCTCGCCACTTGAAATTGCCGAAGATGTGCGTGTGCTTGTGGCTTCCTTTGCACCTGCGGCTACAGCGTCTGATCACTTCTGGTGTGCCCACCAGCCTGGTTGGCTTCTTCATGAAGCGGCGGGCGCCTTCTCCAGCAGGCTTCCGCAGACCAAATTGACACATGTCCGTCACCGTCTCCGCCATGCCCTTGAAACCTTCGACAATGGCGGGCTCTTGCCAGGCTTTCGACAGCCTGGGGTTTTCTCCTAGAACGGCTCCTCCTCTGGCTCTCTGCCTTCTCACAGCCTCTCCAACAAACTCCAGCATGGGGCGATGCTCCTTTCTCTTCTGCGCCAATCGTCTCACCGCCTCCGGGGTTCTGCAGTTCAAGTTCTGCAACGAGCTCCAGGGGCTCAAGGCCATGCCAGCACCAACAAATCCGGAGCTTGGGAGTCGATGTAGTTGTGTGCCTCCTCCCTCGTCTGGGGATCACGAAGATCCCATCCCGGCAAGGTCACCGGCTCGCACATGCGCCAGCCTCTTTCCAAGGCCATCATGCTGATGCAGCAAGTCCAAGTGAACACCTCCAGGACCTTCCACCTTTTCCTCAAAGGAAGTGAGCTGGGCCGCAAGCATGGGTCCTGGGGCTGCTGGGGCTGTTGCTGGCGTCTGCGTACCTCGTCTTCTCCGGCTCTCCGGATCTCCCTTG